CCTCTTGGATTTCTTGTGTTGGTTGGATAACCATGAAGTTTGTAGCATCTATCTTTGACATGTCCAGTTCGTTTGCAATACTCACAAAACATATATGATCTATTACCAGCATTAGAGTTTCACCTATAGGCATTAGTGTTGTTGAAACTTCCATTTCCCCTACCTATGCCTCCTTTATAAGAACTAGAATTTGTTGAATTATTTTGAGACAACACAGATGCATTAAGTGAAGTGGACTCCAAAGCCATATGATTTGAAGGCTTCATTTCTCTCTGCCTCTCTTCCTGTGACAGGATAGCAAATGCCTGTTCCATTGTAGGCAAAGTAGACATCATGAGGATGTTCCCTCGCATAGTAGTGTACATCTCATTTAAGCCCATCAAGAAGTGTATAATTCTTCTGTCCTACTCAGCCTTATACAGTTTTATCTTTCCTCCACAAGTACACACACAACTACATTGTGAATTCACATCAATTGCACTCATTTCCTCCCACAATTTCTTCATCTTTGTATAATAACCTGTGATGTCTAGAGTGCCTTGCATCAAATCATTTATCTCCTTCTGCAACTGATATAGCTTGCAACCATTAGTCTAACAAATCAAACAATATTGACAGTTGAAACAAAGGAAGTTTACTCTTGATCTCTTGAAGGAATTTGAGTCTATAAACTACAAGTCTACCACTTCACCATTGGATCCTACTAAGAAACTAAGGCTTACTGAAGGGAAGTTACTACCAGATCCTACTTACTACAGAAAATTAGTAGGCAAACTTAATTTTCTTGCTAATACAAGAATGGATATAGCATATAGTGTCCAACATCTCAATAAATTCATGCAATCTCCTAGAGAACCGCATTTAAAGGCAGCTTACCATGTACTCAGATACCTACAAAGTGATCCTACATTGGGAGTTTTTATCAGTAATAAACCTGATATCACCATCAGTGCCTACTGTGACTCAGATTGGGCCTCTTGTCTTGATTCAAGGAAGTCAGTGAGTGGTTATTTGGTCCTCATGGGAGATAGCCCTATCAGTTGGAAGTCTAAGAAACAACTTACAGTGTCATTATCTTCAGCAGAAGCAGAATATAGAGCCATAAGACAGGTAGTAGGAGAAGTGGTGTGGCTAGAAAGACTACTTGGTGAATTCTCAGTAACAATACCTTTGCCTATACAAGTGTTTTGTGACAGCCAAGCAGCAGTACACATTGCTAAGAATCCAGTGTTTCATGAACGAACCAAACACATAGAAGTTGATTGCCATTTTGTCAGGACAAAGCTCCAAGAAGGACTGATTACACTCCAATATGTCTCAACAGACTCTCAGTTGGCTGATGTTTTCACTAAGGCATTGACTAGTGTTAAACATTCTAATCTGATGAACAAGTTGTCTGTGAATGGCTCACTTCCAACTTGAGGGGGGTGATAAAACTAGCTTGTTTAGTGTGAGTTAGTTATCAATTTGTTAGTTAGTTAGTTAGTCATTACTCGACTTTCAAGTAGTTAGTTATAGTTGGTTATAGTTCACATGTTTTGCATTTTTTGTTTGATTTGTTAGACTAATCATTGATGTGTATATATACACATCCAATGTACTACTTTATGTATGCATTCCAATACAGAAAAGTTCCTTCTCCTTCCTTCATGCTATCAGAAGCTCAACCTCCATTAATGGAGGAATGAGATTAGCTTCCAGCTTAGATTGCTGGCTTCATCAACTTGTATTGATGATTTCAACGAGGACGCAAAACAGCAATATTGACAGTTGGAAGCTCAGTGGGAGCTCAATGGAAGCAAATGAGGAGATTCAACTAGAACAAGCTCCAACTGAGGAAGGAAGTTATGAAGCTGGGCTTTCAGTGACTTCTACCACTACAAGAAATCTGAACGTAAACTATGCAAAGGAGAAAGATAAAGATCATAGCAACTCAGATCTATATCAATCTGAAGATGAGAACAAGATGGTAGGTAATGAAATAGTAACTGATAGTAAGGGAGAAGTAGAAGAGGAGAAGAGCAAGGAACCTTGGGTAAACATGTTTAAAAATAATAGAATAGCTAACAATGGAATGAACTTGATGTACTATCCTCCACAAATAGTGAATGGGCAAACTATGGTGCAACTAGAAGGTTCTGAAGTACAAATTGAAGAAGAAAAGTGGAAATATGTTGTAATAGCTTATGTAATTGGTGAATGTCCTGGATTTAATACTATGAATAGATATATAATGATGAACTGGGTGAAAGGGGAGAAACCTGAGGTATTTCTTCATGATGAAGGATACTACATAATCAAGTTTAAGAGCCTAAATGATATGAATGAAGTGTTGTATTGAGGGCCATATACGATTAGTAACAGGCCTATTATATTGAAGAAATGGAGTGCAGAGTTTGAATTTGGGAAGGAGTTTCTAACTGAAATACCTCTATGGGCAAACTTTCCAAAGTTGCCTTTAAACTGTTGGGGAGCTGGATCTCTGAGTCGCATAGCTAGTGCAATAGGTGTGCCTCTATTTGCTGATGAGTGTACAACCAAACAGACTAGAATTTCCTATGCTAGAATGTTTATTGAGGCTAATGTTACTAAGCCTGTGCCAGAGAAGATAGCAATCAAGGATCCAAATGGTAGAACATTTATGCAAGATGTTGTGATGGAATGGAAGCCACTATACTGTGAGAAATGCCAGAGGATTGGGCATCAATGTCAAGATACAACAAAGGAGGAACAGCCAAAGAAGAGAAGGCCCTGGAAAAAAGTTACTCAGGCTTGGCAATATAAAGGGCCTATTCAACAACAGGAGAAGATAGAGGAACAAAGAAAGGGGGAGGAGACCAAGGAAGATGAACATGTTTCTGTGCAAGAGGAGAAGAATGATCTAACAAATGATCAGGTGATTCATACACCTGAAATAAGCTTAAGGCCTAACACTGGGAGTACACAGCTGGAGTTTAGCCTGTCAAACTTTCAAATGTTATCAGCTATACCTATAAGGAATGGGTTTGAAAGTCTTATGAATAGTAAGTTGGTGTCACTGCCTGTGGATAGGGGGGAACTTCAAAATCTTGTTAATGAAGTGGAGCTT